TTATTTTTACTAGTTTATTCATTTATTTGTACTAAATAATGCAGTATTGTATTGTGCAGTAATTAACTCTGTGATAGGCCTCAGTCCAACTACAAGAACAGGAACTGTTTGGAGTTACCCCAAAACTGTTAATACAGCTTTTGCAGCTTTTTAATTTGCTTCTAGGGGGTATTTGAAGGATTTGAGGACAAAAACAGTATCATTTTCTAAAGGTGAATATACTGTACTAGTCAGAGTACTGATTCCATCTTTGTCCTTTGGAGTTATCAGTACGTGGTACCATACCAGAGGATTGCATAAATTTGACTTGTGCATCACATGTTGCCTGTGAGCCACTACTTTGAGATCTGTGCTCCTTATAGACTTTGACATGATTAGTCAGAGTAAAACTCCAGTTGAACCTTCTTTAAAAAAAAAAAAAGCTAAACTAAACTACAAGAGACGAGGCTTTTCACACTCTGATGTGGTTTGGTGTGACAACATCGCCTCACCCTAATGTATTCAAGGTGTTTTTTAGTGCCAGACCAGACCAAATGATCAGACAACAACACACTCTTTAACAGCCACCACATTCTTTTATGGACATTCAAGCATGAAGTCATAAGTCAAATGGTATAAAGTTGAAAGAAAGAGGTCACAGCGTGTGACTCTGTTAATCCTCTTGGCTTCTATTCTACCTCTTTGAATGGGGAGGTGCACTCACACCACTGTTTTTAGGCAGAGTGAGGGGAAGAGTGATGAGATATCATAGCTTTCCTATTCTTGGGTTGCCCTGGATGTTATTTCACCTCCCTCCTTCCTTTCCTTTGGTCATCCCGGGGAGCTGTGAACTCAGTCTCCTCTTGTCATCTGTAGCCACAGTCCAGGAGGGATCTGGGTCTGGCCCAGAGGAGCCCAACAGAGCGTGTCCGGGGTCAAAGGTCTTGTTCTTCTCTTACACAGTCAGTGAAACCCAAGTGGTTCACTAGGAGAAGAGACTGATGAAGGAGAACGCACCGCTTTAACAAATCTGACAGCCCACTATGAGAGAGCCGTGACAAAGCTGTGATGTAATCAATCGCTGCCGTAACAACTGTGTTTTACCACATACATGTACGGTCAGAAGTTTTCAAATACCTTTATACCCTTACGAACACATAAAAAAAGATTAAAGTTAACTAAAATGGTACTGTTGTAGTTACCTAGTTACTGAGCAGTGCAGGAATGTTAAGCTACCGAAAAAAAAAAAAAAGTAAATTACTGGAAATGACACCCGAAGAAAAGCAAAAAAGAAAAGTTCTCCAGTTCTCCTGTCTGACGCTGGCAGACCTCAGCTTTTCTTCACCTGACTGGTTTTATCCAGTCATTTCCTGTGCCATACCTGTGCCCAAATGCCAAACCTGAAGTTCCCATTACAGTGTAACAAAAACTCCTTCTCCATCTGCACAACACAAGCTCTTTTAACACAACCTCTGTTTGTCTTTTACCATTTTACATTTCTTTACCTTTCGTGCCTTTCGTTTTTTGTCAAACTCCTACTGTTAGACTCCTATTTTCTGTCTTTCTCTTTACTTTGCTCTAAAAACTCCAAATTAAGCACCTCCACTCACTAGACATTTAAATTCCAGGTGACCACACATGGGGTTGCAAACCCAAGGTTGAAAATCACTGCTGTAGAGCAACACTGAAATTATTATGTAATATTTGTCATTCAAAAAACTATTTTTAAAAGTTGTTCTTCCCAGTGCTTTGGACAGGATATTTAAAACAGTCAACTTCCTGTTCTGACAACATTTGATGGATCTTCTAGAACATTCTATTAGAGTAAATTGCCTTTCCATTCGTGTTCAAAACTATCGGACAAACTCCCAAAATGAAGTGGAATTTATTGCTGTTAGGGCCGGGTGCTGCAAGCATGCACATGTTGCTGCGTGTCATTTCCACTCAAAAACATATAAGATCTCTGATATTTTCAATGTTTTTTTTGTATTTCGCTCTCCCTCCAGCTTGACCCTGTCTTTTTGTTTTCCTTCCAAGACTCGCTAATGAATTTTTGGAGTGCAGTGCTCAGCTCGCAGGTTCCAAGTCCATCCTTTCAGCGTGCGCCTTCCAGCTTTGTTCTTATAAATCTTTTATTTAAATAAAATGGGAGTTTCTCACGCATGTGTCGAGACAAAGGACAAGCGGGAGAAGAGAGATCGGAGGTCGTAAAAGAACAGAGTCGGTGCTAGTTACTCTGAAACGGCCCGGCTGTAAAAGATCCAGTCTGTCAGAAAGAGTTGACCACTCCAGCATGAGAACACCCACTCAGTCTGTCAATACAGGTCCACGCACACACACACACACACACACACAACGCACGCACACACACGCTAGTGTAGGCACAGGGAATGTTTTCCGTCTCTCCCTCTCTCGCCCTCTCTCTCCCTCTCTCTCCCCCACTCTGATTGACATGTTCACTTTATTCAGCCCAGCAGCATTGACTTAGGCACCGTGGTAACAACTGCACTGAGATTCAACCCCCAGGAGAAGGACAATATTGAAATAACTGCTATAACAACATGAAAACAGGCACACACACACCCACAGTCAGACCCTCCCCAACCCCCGGCCCCTCCTCCTCCCACACACGGACGCACACAATGACGGTGTTACAGTGGGTGTTGAGAAATGGAAAAACCAAAATGGATTTCATGACATAACTGCGAGAGTTATAAATAAAAGTGTTTATCACCTCAATTAAATTCAACAGAGAAAAACCTCCTGACTGGGCAGAATCTCTGGGTCAGAGAGTGACCACAGAGGTTTTTGATTGCCTGAGTTGAGCTCCATGTCAAATAAATAATAACAACACTCCCTCGTTCGCTGTTGTGCCTGCACATCATTATAAAATGAACGGCTGTTATCCTCCAGAGCAGTTTCTCCGTCACACACTGCCACCCATGTTGAGCACTGTTTAAAACCGTAAGAAAAGTTAGTCAGTGAAGAAAAACTAACAACGATGAAACGGGATCAGCTGCACTGACATCCATGACAAATGAGTAGAAAAGAGAAAAACATCAGTCTGTCCTTTCATCACTCTGAAGCTTATCAAAACCTGGTGATGAGTAACGTGTTTGAAGTCGTGTTTTTATTTGTGTGTTTTCATTTTATTTGGTCAACTGATGACCACTCAAAGCTCTTTACTCTACAGTTAATCATCTGGCGACTGACAGCAAGTCTGCCAGTGAGCTGCAATATAAACCACAAAGTCTGGATTCGATCCAACAACCCTCTTGTATGACAAATGCACTACAGAGTTCCAGCCAACCCCCTGTATTCACCCTTTTGTCTGGGAATTTATATGAACAGGTCGCACCAAAGGAAGCCTCGCAGGTGTGCGTGCTTTGCCAGTTGTGGCCTTGACTTGACAGTCTGCCCTGGTGTGGAAACATACCCACGTGGGACAAGAAGGTAGTGTAGGGTGGTGGCACCTCACTGTGAATACACGAGTAGAGAGAACTACTGCAGCTCATTAGTCAAGTATTAGGCTCTTGGGGCTTGGCATCACACCTTCACTTCACTCAGAATGTACAGCAGTGAAAACACTGTATGTTGGATTAAAGTAGAAAATGAAATGAGGTATAGTGTAGTGTCATTACACGGTCAGCAGGGGGGCTTCTGGGAATGGAAAAGAAAAAGTTTTCATGTTAGCCTCTCAGGTTAGCTTAGAACTCTGTCTTTGACTGACGACCTCTATCAAGGTGACGGACGGAGAGATGCTGAGCAGGACCAGAAATATACTGAGTGATGTCCTTCCCAGAGAATAAATAAAAATCCCTCGGAGTCCTTGGGTAGAGTGGGAGGCCGGGCTAAAGATCTGGTGCTGGCAGAAATGTGAATACAATTTTTCTTTTGGGTTAAAGTGAAGAAAACGTTGGAAAAGAACAGTTAATTCCCAAAAAGGAGGGATAATAAGAGTTATATGTGCTGTTAGATCATCAGGTGTCACTTTGCATTATAGATATAAAATACAGCAAAAGCCAAGCCAATCAAGAACCTGGATCATAAACAAAATGACCTCACAGAGAAAGTGACAAGGTTGAGCTGAGAGCTGAGGTTCTGATGGTCTCAGTGTAAAGGTTACAGGGAGTTGAAGCAGTCGATATCCACACTGTGGGCATTCACCGTAGTGAAAGTGAAATCACGTTGTTTGAATGATGATGTAGTATTTGGACATCTGTTTCTATCTAGGTGTGCAGCTGTGATGGCCTTAAGCTGCTTCACAAGCCACGCAGGTCACAAGGTCGACCCTCCGCTGGTGCAGCTTCCAATCTGCTGCTCGGGTTTCTTGGTGTCTAGAAATATATCTGGAGATTCTTTTAGTTTGAAGACATCATGAAGACTGTCACACAGACTGCTAATCTGCTCTATATGTTCTCAGGACAAGCACAAAAGCACCTTTGATTGACAGCTCAGTCCCAGCTGCCAGGCCAGTCAGAGGTTGAGTGGGACTGTAAAGAGTTGGAGCCTGGGATGTTAACCCCTCGTGTCTGGGACAGCTGTGTAGTCGTTGGCTGGCGGCTCGGCGCTGTAAATCCTGTCTAAAGAGGGTTTACTTTTGATTTTAATGGGAGTTGTAAATTTAAAGGACTTCGGTCCTAGTGAAAGCGAAGGAAGTTTATTTCAAGGGTTTCTCTTTCTATCTGTCCATAACTCACTTTTCTCCGCTCCACTTTTGAAATAGAATATGTCAGCTTCTGTTAAATTTCAGTTTCATTTTACCTGCAATCATCCAAACTGTTGAAAAAAAAATTCTTTGTAAAATGCTTGAAAAGGAGCTCAGACTTCTTGACCCCCACTCTCCATAACTGCTCCGTTGTATCTTCAGGTCACAGTTAATGTTTTGAAAAGCAACACAGTTCGTTCTATTTCTTCCAAATTCCTGTGAAGCGCGTGGCAGGGAGAACCTCAGTTTGCAGCCGCAGAAATGAACACATTCCCTCCTGTCTTTTCATCTCACCCCTCTCTCCACTCCGCAGGTTCTGTTTGCTTTGAACCAGACTCTGCTGCAGCACGAGGGCGTCCGAGCAGGAAGCCTGCAGGGCTCATACACCACTGAGGACCTCATCACACACTACAACTGCGGTGACCTCAGCTCCATCATCTTCAACCATGACACCTCACAGGTTCCTCTCATTGCATTTTTCTCTTTTGGAATGATTTGGATTTGGTTTTGCCTTAGAAACTACGCCTCAGTCTTATTTACTTATTATTGCATTTGTTGGAGTTTTACTAAATTTATAGATGCTTTAAGTTTGGTTAAAGAACAGCCAATATCTCTGTAGCCCAAAATAGGGCCTGTGGGTCAAACTTGGCTCACCCATGGGCTCTGATTAGACCCTTTAAACGGATGAAGCAGATTGTATTTCATGTTTCTAACTTGTAATAATTATATATTACAAGTTTTACAAGTGTTTAAAACCCGACTTTACAACAAACTTAAATAGGTTTACGTAGCCGTTGGCCTAGAAGAAACATGACTTTGACTTTGTTTTTTAATGTATTTTAGAAAAAATGATAAATAATTTATGACCTATCGAATTACAGATATTTGGGAGACTTTTACCCCAGTTACTCTGTTTGAACTGAAATTCGGGGTCTGGGTGGTATGGAACCTGTTGCACTGAAATGCTTCTTTAGTAACTCTCTTGTGGCTAATTTTAACAAAGCAGTTATGGGCTACATTTTTCTCCATTATCTCAGGGTTGTTACTGTTACTGAAAAAACATTTGTAGAATTCCTCTGGTGAGAATCGTTGGTCAACAGCACCCCCCACCCCCCCCCCCCCCCCCCCGTAATAGTCCTAAATGATACATTTTCTCTCTAAATTCATTACTGTTACAGTTACATTTCCTGCTGTCATCAAAACAGGATTGCAAACAATTATGAACCATGTCATAATCCTGCAGAGGGGAACGTTTCCACATCACAGCAGCTCCATGAAGCTTCTGTCCAAAATCTGTCAAACCCTCAATTTGACTTGGCCATGGTCTCACATCCACTTCTCTGCCATTATGTTTTCAACAAGTCAAACTTCCTGACTGGTCGCACTGAGCTGCTCATTACCATATTGATCTCTCCCAACCACACGTTACTTGATAGTGTGACACTTTAATAGCTCTGGACTACAAACTCTCTTTCCTAACACAGCCTCGGCCCCGCTCTGATGGTGTGCTCGTTAGTTCTCACACCCAGCTCTTCTGTCCAAAGGTCATTTATATAGTTTACACACATGTGCTGTACACACACACACACGCACACATGGAAAACATTTCTAACAGTGGCTCGCTTTCTATTTCTAAACAGGAGCTACTGTGGATTTAGTCGTGGATTATTCTCATCACGGCTCCACTGCTGTCATTAAACCTTGAATTGACCTTTGAACCACAGGCTCTAATTGGATTTGTAAATTGTAGAGTTTATTTTAAATCTGGTCATATGAAGTAAGAAACACTGCACAAATACAAAAAAGAGTAGAATAAATCATAGGTGTACAAACAAAATGTAAAGGAAACGTTCAACCAGTTTTTTTTGGATCAACCTATGACAACAAACGTCATGTGAGTTCCTTTATCCTGATACAGATGCATTCATTTATCATGTGTTCATATAAATCCACATGCAGACGTGTGTACAGACATGCAGTACTTACCCTCATTCATTTGCGATGTAAATGTAAACATTTGGACTCCAACACAAATCTGTTCTTTTTGATACTGATCTCTCTGTACTTCACCCTCTGTTACTGTAAAAGGCTGCGGCTTTGGACAGTTCTCCGACTCCTCAGTCCTACTGTTCCACGGTCAAACTCCACACACTGATATGGAAAAAAGTTCTGTGAAGTCTGTGCCCTGAAAATTTAAATTTCTTTTCCCCTTAAATTATAAATCCTCTCTTGGTCAGTGAACATTTTTAGAAGGAATGCTGTCAGAAGGAATATTAGTTCTGGCGTCGTTGATTATTTGTACTGTCTGAGTATATAATGTCAGTGTGGTGAATTATACTGTTAACATAAAACACACTGAAGACACAGGATGTGTGTCAGACATATCGATGGTTTTCTGGTCTGTCTTCCCGTTCGTCTGTCGTGCGGCTCTATTATCCAGTGCACCTGTAGCGTCACCTACAGGTCACAGGTCTCGGCTACAGTGGTTTTAAATTACACCGATTCGATTTCTCTTCAGTTCATGCTGAATAAATCGAACAACCTCACTTCAACTCCTGCATCTGTGACCTGGTAAATCTTAGCAGCCAAAAAGCACAGGAGTTTTTGTGATGCACAAAACGTCTTTCAATGTCCTCCTTCATCCAAGGTGCTCTCAGCTCCGTCTCTTTATGATTGGACAGAGGTCACTAATAGACGTCTAGACAAAGGAGAATTTTTAAGGAGGGAAAAAGAACGAATGAACGAACGAAGCAAAATGATGAATTGAACCTCAAATGGCGAAAAATGGAAAAATGGAGAAGAATTTGCTGGAAGGAGTGGACTGATGAATCCACGGAGAGGTAGTGAGGAAGGGAGGAAATATCTCGCTGTCACTTCACATTTCCTGTGCATGTCGGGATAAAGAACAGTTGACAGGCCCCTGTGATAACGTATCTGCCTTTTCTGCTGCACTCCAACCTTGACCCCTCTCTGACCTTACACTTTTTCTCCCATCATGAGACAGTCACTTCGTCATAAGAGCAACGATAAGGCACTCTTTCTTCACCTCTTAAAAGCTTTACTCTTTTTAAATGGCTTTGGTTAAAAAAATGTTAGATAAGACAGAAAAGGACCATGATTAATGATGGGGTAGCTAAGGATTAGTCACGATTAATCATGGTTAATTGAAGAATTACCAACCTTCCTAAATATGACAGCAAAACCTTTTTTCCAGTATATTGCTGGAACAGAAAGATAAATAACAGCAGGTAGATGAAAATGATGGATATATTAAAAAATATCCAAAAGTAAAACTCCAAATTGACTCTCTTCCCTGCGCTCAGTGAGGCTGGTCTGACACACGGCTCGACATCTGAGCAGAACACAAGGCCTCCAGAACATATGGTGGATGTGGAGATGAGTTTTAAACTCCAGGTGCTTTTGTGAAAGGAATACTCTTCCCCACAGCGTGTGTAAATGACATTACAGTGTATAGACTCAGTATTGTAGTGGAGATAATTGGAACGACAGGAGAACTGTTCGACATACAGTTGATGTCAGTATGATTATGTGTCAACATGCGTTCTTTTGATCACTATTTTCATAACATACAGTGGTTTAAAACACCTCAAATACCAAAACCCACAGGATGTACTTAATCACTTGTTATATATAAAATAGTGTTTCAGTAAATAGGGAACGATCAAGAATTGTGTCAAAAAGAACTGATCATCTGCTGCAGCAGAATGGAAGGACAAACTTGGAACTTGTACTGAGAAAGACAACGAACCAGTCCTCATGACTTCTACAGGTCCTTGGGACAGACCTGCAGTTGTGGATGAACAGTATCAACATGGGAGGAGTGGATCTGTGTCAAACTTTTGGTTTGCACCAGAAAGTGGACTGTCCATCTCCTTTTTTGTCTCTAATCTGTCTGCCACAAACAGCTGGAGCCTGTACACATCAGAGCGCTCGGCCTCAGGGAAACAGAGGAAGAGTGTCCTCCAGCACATCCAGTCCAAGCTGCTGTTCACTGAGAAATTGATTTCTCAGACTCAATCTGCTGCAAGCCAAAAAAGTGAGGTGATGAGCCCTGAAGACGAAGAGCCGGCCCCTGCGCTCAGAAGAGGATATTTGAAGCTACACCCCCACAGTGCTATAAAAAGTTCAGTTCGGTCCGTGTGCCAAGGATGGTTGAAGAAACAAAAACATCAGGACTTTTGTGAAATGCATCAAATATGACATGTATCAGTGTGTCAGAAGAAACCCGGCCTCTCACTGTACCATTCATAAGGACCGAGAAAGGCCAGTGTGGGAAGTAGGAAACGACCAGGACCAAGAAAGGTTTGAGTTCAAGCAACTGTTTCATTCTTTTTTCTTTCATTTTCTATGTTATAACAACAATAATAGCAGTGGATTTTAAATGAGTTCTTCAGTGATTATAGAATTATTCAGTTGGCACCAGATATCATTGTCCATTGTGTAGGACGTTTCATTTCATTTCTTAAAATAAATGCTGTGGCAAGTGGTTTTCATCCAAGACAACTGTCTGGGTTTAAACCCATTAACAACGTGTTTGAACTCATTTTTCATTTTCCTTTTTCATCCTGGTTGGTGAACCATTCTATTATTGTTTTGGCCTCAGTTTCAGCATGTGTGTGGTAATTATGAGCATCATGTTTAGCTTGTTGTCAAAGTTATTAATGGTTAACCTTATTCTGAAGCAACACAAAAAAACATAAAACATAAAAAACTGAAAACGAAATTCTTCAGAGGTGAAGAGAACATATTTATCACCAGCCCTGACAACAGATGCACACAGTAAGAAGTGTTGACACTGGACGTGTATCTGAGTGTGACAGGAACACACACATGCATGTGTTAAAGCCTTGTCAAACTCAAACTGAGTTACAAGTTGACACAACAGCGGAACAGCTGCAAGTGGCACATAAATCAGTGTGTGCCTATGTGTGGGGTGTGTGAATACATGGTGGATTTATTGTAGCACATGTGAATAAGGTGGTGCACTGCAGCACACACCATCCTGAATCTCTCTGACACATTTCCTCCCCCTGACTCCCTCCTTTTGGTCCTTCCTTCTGTTGGACTTCCAGATGTTCAGATTCACACCAACTATAATATAATAGTATTATTTCACCATAATCTAACCATGTCATGTTGGTGGTGGAGTTTTTTTATTAAGATATCAGACATTTGTGTTGAGCCAGATATTTGTGCCACAACATCATAATATTAAAAATCAAAGGATATGA